TCTCACCCCATGGCTGGAGTCCGGGGGGCAGTGTGGGCAGGGACAGCTCCACACGGTGTCCCAGGGCGCTGGGATGGAGCTGGTGTGGATTTCCCTTACCATAGAGCCTCTCGCGGGTGCTGCAGTGGTCCTTGGGGACTCTGACCCTCATCCAGCCACGCATGGAGCCTGTCTCCTCCCCGCGGTGGAAGACGAAGGTCTCGAATTGCTGTGCTGTGCTGCCAATCATTGACCTCATGGCAATGCAGCACTCACCTGCAGGCACAGCACACACCTGTGTCAGCCCCCCAGGCAGCTCAGGGGCAGCTGAACCCCCTGTGTGGAGCAGCACCCTGGAGCAGGGTGAGTTCTGGGGTCCCTCCTGCCCAGCTCCAGCTGACAAACCTTACCCCCAGCAGGCTGTGTTACCTGTGGGGGCTGTGCTTGGCATCTCCACACCACCGCGGTGTGCCCTGTGTCACCATCCTGCACCTACCATAGGACTCACAGCTCTCCACACCCTTGATGCTGAGGAGCAGGTGCTGGTCCCCAAGGTACTCCAGGTCTGGTAGGATGGGGTTCAGCTGCACACACAGAGAGGTGCTTGGGGGGCTGCTGCAGGGTGGGGTGGACCTGGGGGTGGTGGTGGCAGCCCCCAGCACCCTGTGGGGCTCAGGGGAGGGAGGGAGGGGGAAGAGGAAGGAGGAGGATGCTCCAGGGCTGTGTACCACAGGTAGATGCTTTGAGGACCAGCCCAGCTTGAGGAATCCAGGGATGTCACAGTTCTGGAAGGTGTTCTCCCCACTCCTCTGCACCTCTGTGGGGCACAGCTCCAGCTGGGTTAGCTCAGCCCTGCAGCCCCCCCCAGCACCCCAAGTACCTCCTCCTCACCCTTCAGGCAGTAGGAGTGGAACTCGATGTAGCACTTGCTGCGGCTCCTGGGCTTATAGATCATCTCCAAGATCACCCCCTCACTTTTTTTTTTTAGACCCAGGAGCTGCAGGCAGGTATCAGTGGGTTGGCATGTGCCAGGGCTCACCCCAAACTGGGCACAGAGGGTGACAGACCCCAACTCCTTACCCTCCTTGGACACAAACTGCGACGTCACTCCCACCTCGAAGGTGGCGAAGACAGGTGAGTGGTCACTGGTCACGATGTCATCGGTGCAGCCTGGAGGGTGGGAAGAGGAGCTGGGTGGAGGTCCCCAAGCTCTGGGGTCTCTTGGGCTCCCCTTTCCCTGGGGTCTCACTCACCATAGGAGTTACAGACCAGGTGGGTCTCCGGGTGTGACTTCCACAGGATGCGATCGCACCACGAGGGGACATTGATCCTCGTCTGGAGAGGGGGAAAGCAGCTGATCAGTGTCCCCTCAGGTCTGGCTCCTCCACCCAGAAAAGCATCCCAGCACCCCAAAAGGTGAGCTCCCTCCTGCCTAGACCCTCTTTGGAGAGGGAACAGGCTGGTGGAGATGTAGCGGCTGAGCATCACCATGCAGCTCCCTCAGCACTATGTGTCCTGCTGTCACTGTCCCCAGATCTTCATCACTCTGCTGTCACCATTCCCAGTGATCTCCTTCTTGGATGGAGGCTGCAGGAACTCACCCCTGTGTGCTTGAACTTCTGCCACACGTAGGTGTCCCTGGAGCCCCTCTCGTACCGGTACGTGGGTGGGAAGGAGATCTCACCCTCACCTGGGAGCCAAGACATGGAGGTAGCATGAAGGGACAGCATCCCTGCCTGTCCCCACAGCTACTGCCCATGGGGTGTCATGGTCTTCACACCAATGGTTGGTGCCCCTAGCACGGTGACATCAAGGTCCACAAGGCTTTAGGCACACCATGCAGGGCTGTGCCAGGGCAGGGGACCCCCAGGTGCTGCAGGTGGCACAGGGAGAGGGCTCTGGGGACCCTGTGTGCCTCTGGCTCAGTGGGAGAGCAGCACCTTTGTCACCACACTCACTGAATTGCAGGAACACCTTGTTCTTCTCCCGCTCCAGAGTGAGCTGGTCGACAGCCAGGAGGGCTTGAAAATCCCTCTTGGTGACATGGGCTAGGATGTCCTGTGAGGGGAGGAAGGTGTGGTGAGCCCAGGGACTCCTCTGACCCCTCCATCCCAGCACACACCTGCAGGGTCACACCTGCACATCCATGTCCAGGCGGTAGTTGAGGTCTCCAAACCAGAAGAGGTGGGTGAAGCGTAGGGTGAGGTCGAAGCCTCCCAGACGTTTGTCCCCCAGGGCCAGGGAGTGCAGGATGTCACTGTAGTTCTGGTTACGTCTGGGGGGGGGGGGGGGATGGTAGCACCCTGTGAGCCATTCCAGGGACACCTCATCCTCATCCTGCCCCACCAGGTGGGAACAGGGACAGTCCCGCAGCTCCTCCAGGTGGGAACAGGCACAGTCCCGCAGCTCCTCAGGGCTCCTGCAGACCCCTGAGACCTCTGCTAGGTGGGGACAGGGACAGTCCCACAGCTCCTTAGGGCTCCTGCAGACCCCTGAGACCTCTGCTAGGTGGAGATATGGACAGTCCCACAGATCCTCAGGGCTGCTCCACCCCCCTGAGCCACCCACCTGCCCCAAGGCATCCCCATCCCCTCCAACACCTGTGAGTCTTCTCGCTGCCCGAGGCCAGGTGGCAGTTGACGAAGCCAAGGGAGGTCCCGTTGAAAAGGAAGGAGACACCCACAGCTCCCTTGTTTCCTGCAGGGATGATCTGCCACTGAGCTCTGCGTGGCCCTGTGCTGTCCCTCAGGCTGTCCCCTCCCTCAGGGCCACCCCCCACACCCCATCCCTACCCAGCGTGTTGGCGATGCCAGTTTTGACGCTGGAGGTGTGGACGTGGCTGATGCGTCGCTCGTGCTCTGGTTTCACCAGCACCACGATCTTGATGCTCCAGAGGCACTGCAGGGCCACCTGTGGTGGGGCAAGGTGTGAGTCTGCCTGGCCCCCACATTGCCCCATGGCCAGGTGTGATGGGGATGGAGATACAGGTAGGTCCTCCAAGCCGTTTCTGGGAGGTGTCTCTGGGGAGGGAGTCCATGGGGGACAACAGGAGGTTCCTTGGGCTGTGTTTGGGGTGGGAGAGGACTATGGGTTTGGGAGCAGGAACCATAGGGTGGGAGGTGCTGGTCAGCCAGCTCCCTGAGCCTGCCAGGTGGTGGCTTTGGGCCACTGGGGAGTGGGTGCCTCCCTGGCACTGCTGTTACCACTCGGTAGTCGATGGCCATCAGGGTCTTGAGGGACGCGCGGAGGAACTCGACCCACTCGCGATCGCCCAGGGAGTTCTCCTGGGTGCCAATGACATAGATGTCGTGGGGGATGCAGGCAGTGGTCTCGTCCTGGGTGTGCCCCAAGCCCCTGGAGGTCAGCCAGGAGGCCAGGGAGCGGGGTGGTGGTGTGCTGCCTGTGGGTAGGGGCACGGGTCACCATGGAGGGGACACCTTGCTCCTTGAGGTCCTCTCTAACTCAGACCATGAGCACCACCAGGAGCTGCCAGGGGTGGAAAGCTTTGTGCCAGCCCCATGGTTTACCAAGGCTGATGGTGGGATTTACAGCCCCAAACCCTCCCAGCACCCCAGCTCCCACCTTTTCCCCAACACCCACCAGGTGAGTGGATCATGATGGGACAGACAGACCCAAAAGCAGAAAAGTTTTTGGGTCCCAACAGAGAGGGACTCTGTGTTAGCAACTGCAGTGGCAGGACAAGAGTTAACAGGTTCAAATTGAAGGTGGGGAAACACCCTGGAGGTGTTAGGAAAAAGTTTTTTACTGTGAGGGTGGTGAGACACTGGCACAGGTTGCC